CACAAGGGTTACAACAGGACTCTCACATCAATCCTCAAATACAGAACAAGTGTGAATTTTAAGTAATGTGTATCTCATCTAATTGTGATGATTATTGGAAATTCTTGAAAAACTCAGGAGTTGGCTTTTTAAAATGGCTCCTACATGACGGTCCTGGAGTGCCGGCAGCCTGCATGTTTTAGTTCTCTACCTGGTGGTAGCAACAACCTTTTCAGCTTGTTTATGTTCTTCTTAGGTCTCTAAGGAGCCATCATTTGATCCAGGTGTGTTAAACCAGGGAGAGAACTAAAACACGCAGGATGCCGGCCCTCCAGGACCGACTTTGGACACCCCTGCCTCTCAGGAGCAAGAGGCTTGTTCTGGCAGATTATATTATTTTAATTGTAACTTTTATTTTCACATTTTAACAGAAACAAAGATGAACTTCTGCAGTACATGAAGGATTTTCAACCTCAAAATGAAGAAGTCAAAGCCATCAGAGTTTTACTCCATGGACCAGTCGGTGCAGGAAAGTCCAGTTTCATCAACTCTGTCAACAGCGTCCTGCAAATGAGAATGACCAATGAAGCTCTGGCCAGCTCCACAACCTCTGATCAAAGTTTCACAATAAAGGTTAGTACAGCTTCTTGTTTATATGTTAAGGGTTAGTTTTATTTTTGGGATTTATGACTTTTTACTTGTGCATCAGTTCAGTCTCCACATGTTTGTGTGAAATGTTGAATCATATTTTCTTTAATAAAATGTGGAAATTGCTGCGATTCCTCATTCACCTTGATTTCTCTAAATCAAATTAGAATAAAAACCTGACCTGGTTGAGAAAAATAGATGTCATTTTTGGGTTCAGCGGTGCAAATTAGTCCAAATTTAGCTGAAAAAAAAAAAGTTTTTCTTGTAAGCCAGTAAGAGAAAAAGTGGAGTGGTCCAACTTCAGCTGATTGGTTGAATTGTACACACGCACGCACGCACGTAGAGAAGGCATTTGATATGATGCAGTTTGAGGCATTGTGGCGCCTCAAAACAGCAGCGTGCTGCTCGACTATGAAGCCAGCAGATCACCAACCCACCAGGGAATTCTCTGGTAGCCCTGTATGCCAGTCTAATGTTAGAAACCATTCCACTGAGATTAACGTAGCAACATGTTCAGAAATTTGTTTCCCAAACAAATTTAAGATTAGAATTAAACTCGTATACCTATTTTGAAGCACATTTGTTGGTCTTCTCATAATGTTAACCTGTTGGTCTCAGGTTGTCATTCACAATGACAGGGGTGTCAAACTCCAGTCCTCAAGGGCCGCTGTCCTGCAGTGTTTAGATGTGCCACAGGTAAAAAACAGTGGAATGAAATGGCTTAATTACCTCCTCCCTGTGAAGATCGGTTCTCCTGAGCCTTGCTAATGACCTAATTATTCTTTTCAGGTGTGGTGCAGCAGAGGCACATCTAAAAGTTGCAGGACAGAGGCCCTTGAGGACTGGAGTTTGACACCCCTGTCACGAGAGGACCCAAATTTGGGTCCTCTCGTGAATGACAGGTTAAATGTATTTGTAGCAGCTATATGTCAGCTGTTTACATAAAAAACAGCTCAACCCTTGTCATCTTTATTTGTCTTTCAGTATCAAACCTATAAAATCAAGAAAGAAGGCAAAGAAAACATTTATCCCTTTGTGTTTAATGACGTCATGGGTCTGGAGGAAAAAACTGGAGTCAAGGAAGAAGACATCAAACTGGCATTGAAGGGTCATGTGATGGATGGTTATAAGGTACAAATATATACTTTTATGCTCTTAAAGATGCCTTCATCTAAAGCTATTATAATTATCTTGCTTTATGTGGAAAATATAAGTTCATAGCAATTGTACTGAATATATATCATATTATTTCCACAGTTCAATCCTGTATCTTCTCTTTCTGATGGTGATCATGGTTACAACTCTTCTCCATCCATCAGTGACAGAGTTCATGTTCTGGTCTGCATTTATGACGCTAATGCATCAGAAATGAAGGAGCCTGTTTTACAGAAGATGAAGAAAATCAGAGAAGCAGCCAGTGAGCTCGGTAAGAAACAAAAATATACCATAAACTTGTGTTCAATAAAGCAATGTTAATGTAAACCCAAGAATGCAAAATACTAAAATTTTATGTCAACAATCATAGAGGTTGCAGGTGTAAAAATTTAAGAAAAAAAGAGGAAACATTCTGTCATTCCTAAACATTTTATGATATTTAGAAAAGCTGTACTATCCATCATGACAAATGACAAAGAAAACAAAGTGAGAGGCCTTCAGCTCTAAAACATTAGTGTCATTTTATAGTTCAGTCTTTTTTACATTATGTTGTAGCTAGAACTTCAAAAACTTGCTCCAGCTCATCTGAGAATAATTAATGTTATGTACTTGTTAAAGTATATTTACTGCTGATACAACATTCAGATACAAGAAAAAGAAAACTCTCTGTATCCACAGGAATCCCTCAGATGGCGATTCTCAGCCACGTTGATACAGCCTGTGGGGAAACAGAGAAAAATCTGAAAAACGTCTACAAGAGCAAACATTTAAAGAAAAAAGTGAGTTATAGAAAGATTTATTCTAAACAGGAAAAAAAAACTAATTCAAAATAAATTATTTTATTTATGTAGATGGGTGACTTCAGCTCCAGCCTGGGGATCCCAGTGAACTGCATCCTCCCA